GTGTTGTTAAATTACTGAAATATTAAATTACTGATTCATTAGTCTACTACTATAGTTAACATAAACTAAAAAAAAAAAATGGTAATAATAATTATAAAGTTTCACATTAACTAACAACAACTAAGGGGACCTTATTGTAAAGTGTTACTGATTTAATTTTTTTTATTTTACTCACTGTACACTAAAGGTTAAATATATATTTAGAATTAAAAAAAACATAAATTATTAATTTATAAATTACATTCATTTTGTAATTAAATTACGTAATCCCATTACATGTAAATAGTTACTCCCCAACACTGATCGCTACACTATTGAAAAGATACAATGGAGCTTATGCTAATGGAGGTAATGTGATTGCACTGTTAGAAGCTTATTGACCTTGACACACTATTTGCATGTTTGTTGCACCACGTAACTTTGAAAATGTTTGCACATATTTACAAGCAGTTTTGGAAAAAAAAAATAGATCAAACTCATCTGAACATATACAATTAAGTTGTAGTTGCTTGACTGACACAGGAGGTATGTACTTAAGACACTTTTAAGTAATGAAAAAGGCCAGGTGGAATGATTCTCTTCTGTCTTTGAAAGCATCAATGAACAAAAGTCTGATATTTCTACTATTGCAGCAGTGACCTGAGTATAGTGCTGTATCGATCTGACATTGATCACCTTCTTGACTTCTGAATGACAGATGCAAACTCTCTCTCACACACACACTGCAGTTTTTCACATTTCTTGTCTCTTTGCTGAACAGCCAAAGACATCCTATTTATTGCAGTGACTGGATGCTACTAAAACAAAGCAGCTGGCAAACTTTTGATGGTGTTTTTTGTAATATTTCTCCAAGCACATACTTTCATGCTTATAAATCAATACATGCTATATTTAGCAGAGGCGCAAGCTTGTTTTCTTTCAGATAAACATCAGATGCTCTTTGATTTGTTTGCATAAGTGTGCCGGTGGCACTGTGTGTATGCATCTCAATGCAAAAGCAAGGCCTGAATGTAACTACAAATCTGCCATTTAGCCATGCCTCTCGTTCCTTCATCTTCCCTTTTCATTATCTGTTATGTTGGCTTTTATTGCACACTGTCAGTTACACACAGACTCCCGCACACACGGCCCGTAAGGCCTGCTGTGTTTGTGAGGCAGAAGGTGAAGGGATGATTGTCCGTTGCAGCGTGTGTTTTACGAGTGCTGGTTTAAAGGATGTGGCAGTATTACTTCCCACTGTGTTGCTAGTGCCAGCTCTATATGTCACAGAACAGTGGCCGCGTTTGGTGACAGGCTGGAGAGTAAAAAGAAGATCTACATTCAGATGTGATGCTGCTTTCACGTGTTTGAGAATTACCATAACTCAGGGATTCAACACTGAGCTCTTCACATCTTTAGATTCACAAATGATTTGTTTCTATGGCAACACCGAAAGGCTTCAAAATACCTAATCACTCAATTAATTAATCTGTAAACGAATACCTTGATATTCCATTGCGAAATATTAAATAACAAACAAATGTACAAGCAGTGGTTATAATACCTTTAACTGTTGGAGCCACGGTCGTTTGGGTGTTTTACATGCAAATCCAAGTTGACATGTCTGACAAAGATGTGCATGGTTAATATCCATAAACTCGGGATTTCTGTAAATTAATTAGAACTTAGCAAAGCTGAGTTTTTTTATGGGTTATATATTATTTTATTTTGTAATGTCTTAAAGGTCTAGTTCCTTGCTTTTAGTTCCTGGTTTCCTTTCCTTGTGTGTTCTAGTCTTGCCATTGGTTTATTTGTCTTCATAAGTCTTAAGTCTTGTCTTGTGATTGGTTCATGTTTAATAGTCTTGTTAGTTTGTATATACAGTATAACGCTCATGTCTGTTGTGTACTGACTATGGTTGTGTTTCTGTGGCTTTTCTGATTGTCTTTATGTTTGTATAGTTCTTAAGTACTTAATGTATTATCAAGATGTTTTCTTGTTCTTGTTTTTTAATCACAACATCACAATTAGGCAGAAGTAAATAAAAAATACATCAGAGTGAATATTAAATTATTTCACTATTTTGGCTTGAGTGCCAATTTTTTTTCCATGTCTCTGAGTAATATTTGCCAAAATTCCCAAACATTAGCAAAATATCCCAGGTGTGTTTTTTTTTTCCTCCTAATCAAAATATAGGCAAAACATTGTTTTGGCAATATTGCTGGTAGTAAGTAAGTAAGTAAGTAAGTAAGTAAAAAAAAATAAAAAAATAAAAAATAAATAAGAGGGATTTATAGTATTTTTTTGTTTATAGAATTTGTTTATCTTCAATAACAATGTCCACCCTTTTAATCTTTGTAATATCTCATTAACAATAGGTAGTTCCTCAATGACATCATCTTTCAGGAAGTGACATCAGCTGATGGGATAACAACATAACAAACATTAGTAAGTGCAATGAATTATGAATTATGTGATTTATAGTGATATTAGTAGGTATAACTGCAAACAAATCTGTTCAGTTTGATTTTTTTTTTCAAAACAATATTACAATATTAATATTACAAATATTATTTTTGACTGTTAAATTTAGTTATTTATTTACATGGTTAGACATCCTGTTTTTCTCACCATTGTTTAAATATAAAGCTAAAACAAAAACTTTAATGACCTTAAATCTTAACAAAATAGTTTAATATTTAAAAAAATAAATTTGTATTAATATATTAATATTTAAAAAAATTAAAGTGTAAAGTATACAGCATAACATGAATGACCAGCATAAGATTTAATCTCAGACCTGTCCTTTAAACTGCTAGACACATACTTTCAAAGCATACAGATCAATGCAGCAGGAAGTAGAATTTCTCTCAATCCACAGCTGACATGACAATACTCTGAATGTATTAGACTGAAGTTTTATCTAATTACAACCAAGCAGATGGATTGCGCTCGAGGACTTTTCTGCTTGGATCTTACCTAACACAATACAAATGGAACACGCACTTTGGGAGCAAATGAGGTGCAACTTACTTCCATCTGATGCACGTCCTCACGCACATCCACACAAACAGTTATGTGTGCACATATCAATTTCTTTCAAGGTAACCCACTATCAAATTATGTGAGAGGACTTCACATCATGAGATCAACTAATCATTGAGTTTTCAAAAACCATTAGCCTACAGAATTATTGCTTGTGCCAAACCATGACTTCAGAGAAGCGTATTTCTGCTGCACAACCAGGCCTGCATGGGTTGTCTATGCTCGCTTTGCTTAATATGTCCAGTGCTTAAGTGATAGCTCACCCAAACATTTAAAATTATGTCATCATGTCAACCTTTTGTCATTCCAAAATCAAAATATATATATGAACTAATTTCTTTTATGGAACACCAGTTGAAACATTTAAAGACTGTACTGGTCGCTCTTGTCCATGCAATTACAATGATTCAATCTTAAAAAAGAACACAAAAGCATAATATAAACAGTCCATATGACATGTGTACAGTATTCTGAAGTCATTCAATAACTCTGTGTAAGTAACAAAATAACATTTAATTCCACATTAATTGTAATTGTATTTACAATAGCAACAACAGCCTTCTAAATTTCTCCTTTTATATTCCATGGATGCATTAAAGTTTGAGGGAGTAAATGCATTTTGGCTAAAGGATCCTTTTAGTAATTCACGATGATTCGTAATTTCTGTTGCTCCATGTGATAGAATTGGCAGTAAGTAATTGAGAAAGGCCTTTTGGTGTGACGCAGCTGTTTTGTTCAGAGTTAAGGGAACTGTCATGAAGTTAATGGGGTCAAAGGTCACATCATCAGAATCAACTGTGCGTGGCGACCAGAGACTTTAATGACATGTATATTCTGATAAACACTGACAATTCTGTAAATGGATTAGGCTGAATGCTTCTTATGTTTGCCTGCATTTAGATGCTTAGATGTGTGTGTGTGTGTGGGTCAGGCTTTGCCTGTATTGTAGGGAACAAATATCCCCACAAGGATAGTAAAACCTGAAATCACCTCTATTGTGAGCAACAGCCAATGATCCCCACGAGGAAAACAGCTTCATAAACATACTACATAATATCTTAGGGAAAATCTAAAAGGCTGAGAGTTTACGTTAAGCATACGGTTAGAGGATGCAAAATATCATTGACTCAGTATTGTGAATGCATTTGCATAATGTTGTGTTTTAGTGGCAATTGCATGTATATTTAAACATGACATGACTGTAGGTAAAGTGAAACCGTACAGCACATTTCTCACATTTGCTATTACGTATGCAAGCTGCAAGCAAACTCTATGAAAAATTCACAATCTCACTCTCATTCCCTCTCAGCGATGATCAAGCTGGCTTTTATTATCTTACCCTTTATCGAGCAGCCGCTGCTTTGTTCCCTGCTTTTCAGCACAGAGTTATCTGGAGACTCAAAGTGTGACAGGACCAGAGAGGCTAGGAGGAGGAAAATCTCTCTATGTGAGCAGTTTGTAGCTGCAGCCCCAGGCGAGAGAACTAATACCCCTATAACGAAGAATCAGAGAGAATCGATACGATGCCCATCAACACCAGCGACTTTCCTCTCTGAAAGTGTGCACCCAACACCATTTGGTTACCGCAAACGCATCTCCACGTGAAAGCACGTGCAAACTCTCTCTTGCACACACATGCATGCACACACATGCAACCGGCAGGCTTGCAAAACTCCTGCAATGCACTAAAACATGTGTCCCCAGGAACGCTGGCAAAAACGCCACCTTACATGCTGAAAGGCATTTTAGATCCATGGCATCCTGGACAAGGAGCAGACGCTTGCCGTCTCAATGGGACAAGGGTCGCCTACGGGGTAATCCTGCGATCCTCACCGGCTCTCTGTCCCTCTCAGCATGCTCCTTCTCAAGAGGGACGGATGATATTAAGACCCATTCAATAGTGACCGCGTGGCACAATCGCACTCAGCCGGGTAACGGATATTCTAGCTCCCGTTCCTCCCTCTCTTCTGACTTACCTTCATTCGAGCGCAGAGGTAGCTGTGCAGTGTCAAGGGAAGCATGTTAGGGCAGCTGCGCTCTGTTCTGACTCCAGCTCTGATGTGCTCATCTCAACTGCCTCACTGCCTCGGCTCACACAGCGCTCCACCACCTCCTTACCTCGCTCTCCTGGAGGATGCAAGTGAGAGAAAGAGAGAGAGGGAGGGATGTGAAAGTGAGCATGAGAGGATGTTTCCTCCCCCACAGCCCCCTGCTCCTCCATCTCCCCTCGCAGGATTTGTCCTTTCTGTACTTGCGTGTGCGTGGAAGCATCCTAGCGCACAACGAGTTGGATTCTGCGGGCTGAGGTTTACGCAACTGCGCAAAAAGACTCGACGAGAGAGAGAAGGAATCCTACTAGACGTGCTTGATAATCAATTTCTCTCATTTTTTAGCTAAAGAACAGCCTGGGGGTGAGATACACCACAGTGCAGTAGGAAAACTGGAAGATACTGTACGTACAGAAGCAGAGAGGAGGTGCAAGGGACTGAGCAAAATAAAGTTGGAAATTTGCTTCTTGCCCCTCTGCAAGGTCGTCAGAACGGTAAGCAGATGTTTCGGGAGCACTACATCAAGGTTAAACATGTGGCCGTCTACCCACACACCTCCAACATGCGAATAAACTCTGATTTATGACTTTGCAGTCTCCCCACACACAGACGCACGCAGTTGCACATGTCGTAATACACATCATCTGCCCAACGGCAGTAGATTCTGCGACTTCTATTGGATCTGTTGACTCCCAGCCCACGTTTCAGTGTAGGCACGATATGGGATTGAGTTTTGGGCCACACATGGGATTCATATCAGTTAATTGTCCGATTCAATAAAAGATTCATATGGGCTAATTCAGATAGGGCCGACATGGAAACCCATTTGGGGCCCAAACCTTAAGCCCAAATTGTGCCTACTTTGAACCCACCATGAAATGTTGGCTGAGAATGTCAAACCAACAAGTCCAGTATTAGATCATGGTGGGCATTGGCGTACAGGGCATCATAATGATGCAGGAAGCCCCGAAACTTATGCGTGGGCCCCCTCTTGAATTATCATCCATCCACCCTTGACAAGGAGCATGCTGAGAGGGATTGTGGGGACCAAAGAGATGTCCAACTGAGATGACAAGCATCTGCTCCTTATCCACAATGCCATGGATCTAAAATGCCTTCCAACATGCAAATAAACTCTGATTTATGACTCTGCAGTCTCCCACACACAAATGCACACAGTTGCACATGTCGTAATACACATCATCTGCCCAACGGCAGTAGATTCTATGGCTTCTATTGGATCATTTCACTCCCAGCCCACGCTTCAGTGTAGGCACGATGTGGGCTTGAGGTTTGGGTCCCAAATGGGATCCATATCAATTAATTGTCCCCTGTCAGATTCTATAATAGATTAATATGGGCTAATTCAGATAGGGCCGATATGGAGCCCATGGGCAAACCCATTTGCCGGCCCAAACCTTAAGCCCAAATTGTGCCTACTTTGGACTCACCATGAAATGTTGTATGAGAATGTCAAACCAATGAGTCCAGTACTGGATTATGGTGGCCATTTGTGTAAAGGGCATCCCGTTTGTGCTGGCATGAATCTAAAATGGATTCCAACATGCGAATAAACTCTGATTTATGACTCTGCAGTCTCCCCACACACAAACACATACAGTCACACATGCCGTAGTACACATCATCTGCCCAAAGGCAATAGATTATGCGGCTTTTATTGGATTTATTGACTCTCATCCCACATTTCAGTGTAGGCACAATATAGGATTGAGGTTTGGGCCCAAAATGGGTTTATACACAGGAGTCAGTGAATTAGCCCCAGTCAGATTAATTTGGGGCTAATTCAAATAGAGCTGACATGGATTCCATGGACAAGCCCAAACCCCAAGACCTTATCATGCCCACATTGGCCCCACAATATAAAATCAATGAGTTTAGTATTGGATCACAATGGTCACTGGCGTGAAGTGTGTCCTTCTAGTGCTGGGGCCTCAAAACTTATATGTGGGCCTGGTCTTGACTATCCTGACTTAATTTGTGCTGTTTTACTCTTCATAGAAGCAGCAGATATTCAGTTTTCACACTTTTCAATGCTGCACACCCTTGCATTAATGTATTTACACAGGAATCCAATTGCGGAAAACAATATATCACGTCCTTGAATGTGGTTCATTGATTCATGTGCACAGTGGACCCAATATACAATGTGCACTGATTGACATGCTGGAGGGCCAGTATAAAAGAGCCTGTGATTTGTAGAAATATTTGTAATATCCCTTGTGAAACAGATTTACACTTTGGTATACTTTAAAAAGAGCAATTTGTAATGGTTTTCAGATACTTAATTGCATGTTATTTATTTAATTGAAGATGCATGATAACATATATTTATATTAAATGCAATAGTTTGGATGTTTTTGACCCACCATTAAAGTATCTTTAATTTTATAATTACTTCTATTGTCTTTGAAATATGGTTAAAGTTACTGCTGAATGTACTGACAAGCATTTATGCTAAACTAACATATACTATAACGTACTTTCTATTGAAACTTGTATGTCTTGTATTTAAAAATATTTGTAAATGCACATTCACAATGATAAAGTCGCACTTGATATATTTAAGTTTAAATGTAATATCAAAAAACACTGCAGTTAAACTTATAATTAAGTACTTTTTATGTGCTTTAGTGTTTAGTTAATCAGCACATCAAAATAAGTGCACTTCTTTAAAACATGACCAACTATTATCAAAATACAATATTTAAAATGTATTTTAAAGTAAAACCTTTAATTTAAATTATTTCAAAGTGCAATTTTTTGTGTACTTAAGTGTGTTAAGAAACATAGTCATGGAATTGTCTCTCTTTAGGTACACTTAAATAACTTTTTTTTCATTAATATTGTATTATCAGCAAGTATTGATTTTTTTTTCCTCTTTAATAAACATTTAATAATTAAAGTGCACATGCAATATAGTTAAGCACTCATCTTTTCACAAAAGACAGGGCTTAAATTGCTTCAGTTTATTACTTTTCGCTCACTGTGAGCTGACTTGTCTAGTTTAATTGTCAATTGTATGCTTTAAGAAACAGTACGGTATAATATATAATAGCATAATTTCCGCGTCTATGAGCAAGAATGGTAAAATGTAGGTTGCATACTTTAGAGGATTCTGTGCCAGTCGAGCAGCTGCCTTTGAAGTGAATGAGAACGCTAGCAGACAATTATAGGCCTCCTAGGGCTGGTTGGGATGCTCAAACGAACAGAGCAATGTTATAGTCCATATTCAGCATTATACTTAAGTAAGCACACTTACAGTATTTTGTGTGTGCATCACATTTAAGAGTCTTGAAAACTCAAAATAGTTCTCTGTTTTGATCAGCAGCTATGCTTTGAGAACAAACAGTGGATGAAGACACATCACAATGCTTCATTTATATATCTCTCTTTTTAATGTGTGATAAAGCATTACTTGATGCCGCATCAATCAGCTGACCCTGTAATTGCAAAATCAATAAACATTTTCAGTGGGTTATCAATCCTCTAAGTGTAATCAAGAGCTTGGTCCTTCATTATTCCAAGCTTGTTATTTATTTATTTATTTATTTATTTTTCCTCACTGAATCACTAAGAGACTTGAGAGGAAGGTTATAGAGATGTGAGAACAGAGGAAATAAAGACCAATGCAGATCAATGCAGTATGTCATAAATCTTTAATTCTTAATTTCAGTAGGTTAGGACAGGCCAGTTTTAATCAATGCAATCTCTATCAGTGTGTAAATTATGTTTAAAAAATGCGAAGTGCTGTTGAAACATTCCGTAATATGTAGAAATAAAATAATTTAGTAAATGTACTTTTCAAGACTGAACCAGCATTTGGTTTCATTCACATTCTGACCAGTTGCTCTCTTTCTCTCTGTTTTGGTTGTCAGTATAAATTAGCATGAATTGACCCTGTCAGTGCAGATTTGATATGTTTGAACTGAAATATTGTGACCTGACAAAGCAACAGGAGAGATAATAAAATAATAAAGACAAAACATACCAAGGGCAACACGAACAATCAGGACAGGATGAAAGAGACAGAATGGAATAAAAAAAAAAAGAAGCTTTGTCCTGTAAGCAGTCTGTCAGTAATTTGTTTTGCTCTGATCACTAAATGTGAAAAAAGGCTTTAAACACTTATTTTCAGAGAATATCTTTATTTAGCACACCTTTTGCCTTTTCATTTTTTTTATATTCATGCATTTAAAACCTTATAAAACATAGAAAATCATTACCCCGGCACAGTAAATCTGACTAAACTTCCCCTTGTGGACATTAAATTCTTA